GTTTTTGGGCTTTTATTTTTTTTTTTTTTTTTTTTTTTTTTTTTTTTTTTTTTAGTTATTTATTTATTTGTATTCCCACTTTCGAACTTTTATTTTGAATTCTCACAGGCTTCTTCGGTCGGCCTTTTATTTTGAATTCCATTTCCATCGTATTTCTGATGCTTCCTGTTTCAAACTGGTTTCTCGTGACAAATCCTGTGACACTTGGTTTGTGGATAGAACACCAGCAGGTTAGAAAAATGCACACATTTGACGTTTATTGCTTTATTAATGCAGCTACTGTGCAAAATTAGTATCAAAATAGGCAATATTATCATAACTAAACTAAAAAGTGTCAAAATAGTATGATAATGTTACAACACTACGTAAATACGTCGTGACCTAACTGTTAATGAGCTTTTATGTATACATACCAAGCTAGTGCTATGATATTTCTTGAAGTACCTTGTGTAAATGCGATGAAAATAGTATAATTTATTGTAATGGTATACATTAAAATACGATGGTATTACCGCCTGACATCATCATTTTACCTTGGTAAAGTACTTTTTGTAAAACTTCTTTAGTCAACTGATTTAAATGTATCTTCCAGGTGTGCAATCATGGCAAGCAACAAATTCCAGATCGTGGTGCAGGGAGAGGCATCTGAGACGGACTCAGATGATGAAGTGTGCATCACCTCTGCTCCTCCTGTCCATGCATCATTATCATCATCATCATCAGGGATGAAGGTGGCAGGAGAGGCGTCCGAGACCGACAGCGAGGACGAGGAGGAGAGAGCTCGCAGACTAGCCTCAGAAAGCCATCAACAGATGCTCCGCAAAGACCTGCCTCCTCTCATCGTGATCAGAAACACACCTGCGACTGCGTCCGGACAGGAGGACAGATCGTCGCCTGTGTCCAGACCTGACTCAGGTAGGTTTAACTCGTTACTCCAGCAGAAACTGCAGGAGAGCAATGCACGGTTGTGCATGGACGTCAATCAAAGCCTGAAACAGGTGTATCAGAACGCAGCACGGGACATAAGACAGGCCACCACTCACCTCAACAACTCTCAGACAGGCATCATCAACGCGTCCCACAGCATTAGGCTCATACTGGAGGACCTGAAGTCAGTGTCTGAGAAGATCGACATCATTACCAGCTGTCATCTGCTGCCGGACATCACCATGCCAAACCCGCTGTCTGAACAATCCCAATCAAGGGCTCAGGAGCTTGATGAGATGGCTGCATGTATATAAAAATGGCAAATTCTGTGAAATATTATTGCTGAATATGGGCCTGCTGTTGGCCTGTTGAGGGTCCAATATTAGCAGCAGCTTGGATACATTTTTATGAATTTCTTGTGGGCTACATATCAATAGTATTTGACCAACATGGTCATTATTATCAGTTATTATCAATTAATAACATGAAAATTTGGTTGGAGTGATTAGTTGAATGCACTGAGGAAACAGAGACAATAAATTCTGCAAGTTAAAAAAAATAGTAAACTTGTACAAAAAATGTGTAAACTACATTTCTTAATTTATTTTCTCTTTAACATGTATGTTGAATTTTAGATTAATCTGTAAAAGATAGTGTATATTTTAGGGGATATTACTTGTCACCACTTTTAATTTTTCTTTTTTTTTTCAGTTCACTTACCTAGTCCTGTGGTTAGTAAATGTAATGATTATTATTTTAAAAATATTAATATTATAATTGAAATAATAAAATAGATAACACAGGTCTTAACACACATATATATATATTTAATTTATATTCTATATTATATTAAATACAGCATTTTTATTTTTCACATATTGGTTGAAATATATCAATGTATAAAGGAAATCATATATTTTTGGGAAACTAACTAGTCACCATTTCTTGTCATTTTTATTTTATAAAAATTACATAGCTTTGCAGTTCACTTACACATTCCTGTTGTTCATGTAATAAATATTATTTTAATATTATATATTAAAATTAAAATATATTTAGCATTTTTATACATTAGGTTAAAATGTAAACAAAGGAAGGTTCACAAGTTTTAATCAACTTAAGTATCAATATTATTATTACTATTAAAATGATACAATACTAAAAAGGAAGGTTAAAGCTGCATGTCGCAATATAATATTAATGTATATATATATATATTAAATATAGCATGTCACATGGAAGGTCAAATATGACTTGCCAAATATGCATATGAAAAATCTGCACAAAAAGCATCACTCATAAACTGAGTTTGTTTAGAAACTTTATTGAAACATACAGGTCTGTGATGGGCATTTTGGAAATGTATACATTTATAACGAGTGGAGAACATGAAAGCTTCATAGCAACACGTTGATCGGAATAAACACAAGTAGGAAATGCAACAGACACATATGCCTCGTATTCAAAAAACGTTTGCCATTGAATCTGCTGCATACACTTTGAAACACTTGCAACTAAGTTTAAAAGGCACTTTGAAGACCGATTTACTTTCTCCATTGATACATACGAAACAATCTCCTATGGTATACATACGACTAAATGAAATCTAACCTGCATTTCTAAACATGAATAAGGCACTGTCCGTGAGACTGGACCGGGCAACACTTCATCTCGTTCTATAAAGCTTATCTTTTCACTATACGTTTCATTTCAGACACAATCTTAATCTATTTTTAAAGGACACTGTTGCGGCACCTTGATTAGAGTTGTGCAAATATGAAGCAATGATTCTTAGAGCGATATAAATAAACCTTTGAGAAATGGTTTGATGGACAGTAAAGATCACATCAATAGTATCAAAAGTAGTTCGTTTCCAGACGCTCCCTACAGGCAATCACTCACACACATGAACTCTCTCATGCTCCTGTGCGTGGGTTTCTTTCTCAGAGGCACACCAATGAAAAAAATGTGCAACAGATGTGCAAATACTTCAGCTTCACGTTAAAGCTCTCACACGGAAATAAAGTCATGAGATGTGATTAGTAGAGCTATTGCAGCAACATATATATTAAAAATGTATGTTGCTATCTAATGTATAACACTGAGGCTGAAAGGAAATAGTAAAGGACTGATAGTACAGTAACAATGCTACAAAAGCTTCCAGGTAAACAACTAAACCAAACCAGATTGATCTGAAAAAGCCTAGAAACAAACGGCAAAAAATCTAAATACATTCAATATGACATAAACAAGGTACGTGAAAGAAAAAAGGCACAAGGATTTAACAAAAAAAAGACTTTTTCTCTCCATACAGGAGTCTCACATTCTGTTATTGATATTACAAAAGGCAAACGGTATTCTGTTCCAAAATACAGATGTGCAAAAAAGACAAATTCCTGTTTCAAAATGTGAACTCAGTCCTCCAGTATTTCAGCTTACAGTATAAGTGAGATTTCAGTGAGGAAAAAAATATTGCACGTTAACGTGATTTGTCAAGTCATGATGTCGTCTGATTGATCAGGTCAAGTCCAAGGATTTGAGTCTGTTTTAATGTTGGGCTTTGTCTGACCATGAAAGATGAAGTCATGACTGCCCACCCACAATTCTTTATGACTATTTATTTGAACATGCCATTAAATCCCATTTTGATATTTGGGATTATACTCTGTGTTCTTCATCTAGTTGTCACTCAGAACAGTCTAAGAAGAAGTACACACAATTATAAGAATTCAATACGCAAAAGTAATTGCTAATAAAATTTTTTAGTTGAATTTAGGTATAATAATGATTGTGGGTGAGGTTTGATTGGTCGGGTCATATAAATGGCGGAGTCTGATTGGTCAGGTCATATAATGAGTGATGGCTCTCAAAGCATAGAGCAGCTCTGCCTGCATTCGAGCCTCCATTAGAAGCAAATTCACATGAACCTGGATAAAGGAAGGAAAGAGAGAATATCAGTATATTTCATATACTTTTTGAAACTATATTTTCAATCATAAATGAATCAATTTTAAAAAATTGATTAAATGAGATAAAAATATATATTTGACATGATAATATGACCTTCTCGGAGTGTCTGAACTGGTGCCAGTAGTTCTCGTACATGCGGCGCGTGGTTCTCTCTGGATAACACGTCACTGTTTTGATGTAAACCTTCAGACTGCACTCCAACAACTGATTCACCTCACCGTAGTCATAATCGTCATATCTGCAGACACAGTGTGAATGTTCATCTTTCAATACTAGGCAGGAAAGACTGGATTTCAGTACTTCTGGTCGTCCTGTGCTAGTACACTAGGGGGCGCTATGGGTGCACATACTGTGTACTACAGTCACATACTACTATTTCTGCAGTGTACACTAATTGTATTCATGGAAGACCCAGATGACATTTGACAAAATGTTATGTA